GTAAATATCATCAGCCATAAATCCATTACAAATACAGGCAGTCCCCGGGTTACATGGATCCGACAACCGGGGTGAGGCACCCCCGCACTAGCTACTTCCCCCCAGCAGACTAGGGAGATGCGAAGCTAGCGCGTCCCCCTCCCCCCGCCCAGCAGACCAGGGAGAGGTGGAGCGGCTTTTCTCAGCAGACACTTCAGCTTGAGAATAAAGGGCTGAGGGAAGTGAGGTGTGGGAGAATAAAACTGAGCTCTGGAGAAATGTTTGGCTAGAGTTTCCCCTACAATATGTACCAGTTCCGACTTACATACAAATTCAACTTAAGAACAAACCTACAGTCCCTATCTTGTACGTAACCCGGGGACTGCCTGTATAACATCATGATTTTTAGAGATAGCAAACATGAGACTTTTTGTATTTTCTACAAAGATTCCAATATTTGAACCAGTCCCGTCAATCAGAATCAAAGACAGAAATGACCTATTTTCATTTCTTGAGTATATCTAAAACCTTGTGAATGCCTCTGACATTGTGAACAGCTCAATCCATTCCTTCATATCTATTTCAAAACCTCATTTCAACCTAATTTGGATCCAGACAATACTTCCTTTATCTCTAAAAATGTCATGATGTAGCTACTGTATTATCTAAAGTCTTGTGTTTTGAACGTATCTTTGTAAAAATGTTTCCTAACCTAATCTGTGAATTTCTGATGTCCCCTGATATTGTGAAAGGGAGTAAGGAGGGGTCAGCTTTATATGGTGGATTGTAGTTGGTACTATTGATCTTGATTTAAAGGAATCTGTCATGTGAAGTGAAATGATTTAGTGCTTTGATAAATCTTATTGCAATATTGGAGGCTGCTAAGAGATGGTAATAGTATTCTAGAGTTGTATTTTGGGAATGGAACGAGGAGAAAGAGAACGTGACACAATGAAGTGCTCAGACTGTGGCTCCTACAGGTTGATTATGATGTTCTATAACCACTCTTTATAGAGCTTAGAAACACTGGTTCAGAATCATGCTTGCTAGAGTTCACTGCAAGAGAGTAGCTTTGATGTGTTGGTGTGTAGTGGAAGGATAAAACTGTGCCCTGAAGGATGGACTTGAATAGATTGTGAGCATGGTGTTAGTTCTTCCTGGTTGAGAGACAGGCCTACTCCACCTCTGTCCTCATGACATGTTACTGCAGCTGTGGCTAGCAGAGGCAATTGAGTCAGAGTTCCATAGCTGTTACAGGAGAATGGAGGGGCATTCTCAAGGGATTCTCTGTTGGGACCCCACATCTTTGAAACTGTCTTCATCCCATGATCCACAAGAGCTCAAATTTGTTGGGATTTACAATGTACACTGAGGTTTATCGTTTCTTCATCCTGGAAGCATGATCCCTCCATTGAAAAAGATAGATGTCCTCTCAAAACAATGGCATATAATATGTACACACAAGAGGACAAAATTAAGGTTTCACGAATAACCTTAATGTGACATTTTCTGATTTTTGCATACTTGACTTTACAAATTTAATGTTCTGTGAAGTTTTTTTTCTTTTGTAAGTAATGTATTAAGCTTAAAAGCAAACTGAAAAAGCAGAAATTCTGTCACGTGGAACAACATTGACCACCATGTAGATCATCCTCAGGACAATAGGAACCTTTAAATTTATAGTATACACCTCAACCCTTTGAGCACAGGGATAGATTACCCCTCTGTTTGGATACACTCTGTTCCTTCCAATTTTCTGTTTCCCACCTCTCTGCATTGTAATCATGTGGTTTCTTCTCCTCATTTCCTACCACCTAGATGGCAGAAATCACAGGAAAGATAGTCTTCTTTATCTTTGTTACAGTGCCCATAATCAGAGAGGTCCCAGTCTGTTGAGAGGAACGTTTGCAGGTCAGTCCGGCAGACCTCATCTAACATATAGTCTGTGGGGTGAAACATGCTCAGTGCAATGTTCGAGGATGGAGTATGCTCATTACAGATGGCATATAAGGAGAATTTAGCTGCTAAACTGCAACAAGCTGCTATGGAGCTTGCGTACTTGACAGTTTCCTGAGATTTCTAACTTGTCCACCTTTGGGCAGATTTTCAGAGGATCAGCAGAATCACCATGTTTACATTACATACTAATTTGATTTAATGTAAGTCAACATGAGTCTCCAGTTTTAACAAGTTGGCCTTGAGTATACAGCCAATCCTCATTGTGTTGGCAAACCCATCCTCTCTAGCAGGGTTTGCATCAACACACATAGCACTTCACTGTAGGTAGCCATCCCAGTGTACATGTGGCCAAGTGGAATTTTGGGTTGGGCCTTAAGGGACCAAAACATTGACATGGGTGGCTATGAGAACAAGGTGTTAGCCTCCCATGATCCGCTTATATTCCTTCCTTCCTGACTACTTCCCTGAAATCAATGACAAACAAATCTAGCCCTTTTTTGGCCTTTTTCTGTAAGCCTGGGTTACCCACACAGATGCCATAGCACAGTAAGTATGGACCCCACTTAGTTGATATCTCCATGGAGGATTCTCAGGCCATCCCCGTGCATATAAACAGATTATTTTGAAAATAATCCTTTGTGTAGGTGGAGTGGCCACTGATATCCACTACACCTTTTTTGTTTAGAATAAACATAAAAAATAATAGCATGTAACTTCTGCAGTTTGACTGGAAATATGTTCTTACCAGAGGTGCCTTCCCCAGCATTGGTCTTCTGACATCTAGTTCTGTGAAGGGAAAGGCTCCATGGTTAAAAGCAGTTCTTGGCTATTGGAAAGAATAGATCCTCCACTTGCCTGCCTCACATTCTTCTCCTCCTCCTCCTCCTTCTTCTTCTCCTCTTCCTCCTCTTCCCCATCGACAATGTCCTCCTCATTGTTGCTGATGGTCACCCAGAACTACTAGAAGTATCCATGGAGCATTTTGGTGTGATTGCCACTGAAAATTGTTCAGAGCTTCTTATAAAAGCAGAACCAGAATGACTGTTTGCCTCCATTGTCTTTTGCACTTGTTAAACATCCTTTATTTTCATGTGGAACTGCTTCATGTCCCTGGTATAGCCCTTTCTCACAATGCTGTGTGCATCTTAGCATATTTGTCAGCATTTCTTCTGCTGGACCAGAGATTTGCCTCCACAGTCTCTTCTCCCCACACAGCAATAAGATCTGCCACTCCTTGCTCAAGTGCATTTGCAGCCTTGAGTCTCCATAATCAGCTGTGATGTCAAGCTCTCTCCACACTGATCAAACAGAAAATGAAAATTTAAATAATTCAAATGTTCCAGGGATTTTAACAGGGGAACAGCTATTTCCTGTGTACCTGGCTGATGTGAAGTGGAATTGAAAGTGCTCTCCAGAGTGGTCACAGTCATCTCTGTGGGACATCTCTTAGGGTGGGACATCTCTTAGGGTGCATCTAGACAGTGGAGCTATTTTGAGATACAGAAGGTATCCCAAAATATCTATTCTGTGTCTTTTACATGCTCCTGTTATTTCAAAATAGATTTTGAAATAACAGGCACATTATTACAGCATCCCTGTAACCCTCATTTCACATGGGTTAAGGGAAGTCTCGAAGTAGCACGCTATTTTGAAATTTGGCACTGTGTAGGCAGCTCTAAATTTCAAAAGAAGCTATTTCGAAATACATTTGAAATAAGAGACACAATTTGCGTAGCGCAAATTGCATAGCTTATTCAGAGATAAGGGTGACATCTAGATATAGCCTTAAAGGCTAATTCCTTCGAATTACACAACACAATGTCTCTGCTATCCACATATCAGCCTGAGGATGTTGAATCAAGCACTATGCCTCCTGCTGAGGTGGAGTTCAGAAGTTGATTTTACAGGACACTTAGGTAAGTGGAAGGGACTTGGTAGTATAGGCACTGTAATCGTCTCATGCTGTAGGTGGCCCATTCCCTCCCTACAACTAGTCTCAGAGCCCCATGGCAGGATCAGGGTGGGGCAAACAAACAAACAGTTAAGTAATCCAAAGGGTTCCCAGGCACAGGCCTGTCTGCAGGCTGAGCTAGGGGTCAGGTCTTCTTGCTAGCAGAGAGCAGACAGGCGCAGGTTGTTTCTCCCTTCAGGGGGAACCTGCCACCCGAGGGAAAAGGGTGGCAGGGGTTACACAGGCCCACCTGCTCCACTGTGTCTCAGCTCAGGGCCCTAACAGTGGCTGGCAGTGCCAGCTGCCACCAGGTCAGCAGGGCTCTTAGCCGCAATATGCCAGTTTAGTCAGTGGGCTAGCAGGGGTCCAGACCATTACCTGCAGCCCAGCTGATCTCCACGTCCCCTGCCGGCACTAGGTCAGCTCCCCCTGGGCTATTTCCCAATTCCCCCTAGGTCCTACCTGGCTCCATGTCTGGTCGGCAAGCTCTGCAGGGGCTGAAAGAGCTGGCAGGGTGTCCATAGATTCTGGAGGTGGTTCAGGCAGACATCCAGGGGGTCCAGCCCATTGTTCCAGGCCCAGTCTGGTCCTGGGGGTCCTGGATAGGCCTCAGGCCTTAGCAGGAGTCTCTGCAGCCTCTCATAGTTACAGGGTTTCCGTTGTAGTCACGGCAGCCTGGAACAGTCCCCGGGGAATGGCAGTGGTCCTGGTGGCTCAACCCAGTTGTCGCGCTGGGGTTAGCGGGGTAAGGCTCTCCAGCCTCCTCTCTGCTCTGCTGCTGGACTCCAACAAAGCTGGAAGCTCCCTCTCTTACACTTCTGGCCCTGCCCTTGTGCTTCCTGTGGGCGGGGTGTTTAGAGGAACTTATTCCTCTGGTCTTCAGGAGGCCATGCTGCCTCCTTACCAGTGCATACACTATCAGGTTGATTTAACATGGCTTATGTTGACCAAAGTATGTAGCGTAGACCAGGCCTGACAGTAGAGAGATCCCTTTGCCAAACTACTGAACCATGTTCCAAAGCAAATGGTGACTAGACCCTCTCCAAGAAACAGATATATTCTGTCAACTTAAAGTATATTTTTCCCTAAGCTCATTCTTGGAAATGTAAAT